TGTAAAACTGAGTCATTAAAACCTTTTCCTAAAACAAACAAAAAAATTGCACCAAGATAGTTTGTTTGTAAACTATCTACCTCAGAGTTCACACTATAAACACTGAAACGTAATTTTTAAAAAGCTTTACAAAGCATAGTTGGATGCAACTTATCTTTGCATACCTCAAAGTATCAGGCTATAGGGAACTCAAATTTTCTATCCCTACATACAAAAAGAAACATCAGGTCTCTCATTCAGAGATAGATAAGCCCAACAAACTTTCTGTGACAGTAAAAAAAGTATTTCGTGGATGTGCAAGTTTGCTTTTGGCTTCCATTGAAAGAAAAATTGGCCCAACTGATGTATTATTCACCCACTTAGTAATGAAATACCATTTCAAGTTATTCCATGAAGCCGTATGTCTTGTGTTATTTTTCAGGAACTATGACAAACAGCATGGAGTCTGATAAAAAACAAGTCATGTTCAAAAGCAATTACAACCTTTTTAAGCAGAGAAATATCATTTCATAAAGGAACACAGGCCAGGTACATATGATCAAAGAACAAAGTTGGAGAGGAAGACACAGTGGGAATTTCTACATTGACAAAGTAAGAAATGCATCAGTTTAACAAAGACAGAGGTAGATTCTAATACACAAATTAAAAATAACCCATTTTCCCCTCTTTTGAAAATGAAGTAAAAGATCACACACATACACACACACACACACACACACACACACACATATTCTTTGTCTGCTCAGTTTTCCTGATGCTTCCTGCTGTTAGCCTGTCACCTTCCTTTTCCTGCTCACCATGGGTGATCATGAAGAGGAAATGGCATGGCCTGGACCTGTATTTAGCCTGATACACTGACATTAACACCAGCTTGAGTGAACCAGTAAGACACACTTCAAAAATATTGGCAGGAACCGGTGTACTTCCTCTATGCGGAACTGTATGACAGGAGCTTAATATTTAAAACTGTAAACACAAGCTGTAGATCATCAAGAGATCTGGGGGAAGAACTGACATCAGCTTTGGAAAGTGGACCAAGGGTCACACTTCTCGTGTTGAAGAACATGTCCAGCACTAAAGGACACTTGGTAAAAACCAGGCCATGAACTTTCTGCGTCTGGACAGGGTTAGTGACTGCAGGGCAGAGTGGGAGGGAGCGCAGGAGGGTGTCGAGGGAAAGAGGGGATGGTTTATTTTTCAAATTCGCATTTATGAAGATAAAGAGAAGCGCTGTCAGTGCCACACATGCCAAAGCTCAACTAACAGCCAAACCGGCCTTGTTCCGTCTGGGCAGGCGAGACACAGATGAGGTCTTGCAATCTAGGAAAATTGACAAATACGAGAGGAATACAGAAGGAAAAGCCAGTCACAGAAATGTCCCCCTGTATGTCACTCCGTTGTCTGAGGAGTCGGAATTTTAATGCACTGAGACACCCAGAAGCACTGGTCCAGCAAAACCAGAAAACAAAAAAAGCAAACCCTGAAGCAAGCTGTTCCCCTGTATCTTCCTGGCAGATCGTAAGCAAAGCAGAAATTAACTTTGTACCAGAGACAGCAGGATTCAGACAGGAGGAAAAGTGGCTGCTCAAATGAGTTGGAAGGGATCAGCAAGGTGACAAACCAGGAAAGGCCTCCCAGGCGGGATCTCAAGCCACACATCCAGGCTGGTGTCCTAGAGAGACAATAGTCCCTCTCTAGGTCACTGGTAAGACTGCACCCAGAAGCTGCACACTGTGAGATGAAAGAGCTGAGCCGAGAGCAGACAGATGGCTAAAAATACAGACTGACTGTTATTGTTTCCTGTAGTTAGACGGTAACAGTAACTTGCATTTAACTCATGTAAGGATTTTTGCAAGGTAAGGTTTAAAAAAAATAGATGGAGAATTTCTGTGCTTGGGCTGATAAAATTATGGTCTGGACCCATCTAGGATGTTTATGTTTAACCGTGTTTAAAATGAATGACTGATCTACTGAAACACAAACACGTGGCGTGCACGCGCACACACACACACACACACACACACTCCTACATGTACTAGGAAGAGTTCTGAGAATTGGAGGCCCAGTAAAAACAGCTGAAAGTAAGCAGTTCGGTGACCTTAATGTATGATTACACCCCAGAAAGCTCCATAATACTTTACGATGGACGGTTCCAGGGCACATAAATCACGTCACTTGATCCTCATAAAAACTATGTAGAAAGGTCAGGACACGTATTATTATCCCCATTTTATAGAAGAGAAAGCCGAGTTTCCAAGCACCCCATCTGTTACCGGTCTTGTCAGTCATCTGAGTCTGTCTACAGAAAACTCTCTTACATGACAACATCAAGAGACAGAGCTACACAACCCAGTGCATACAGTTCAGTACCCCTCTGCATTCCTACGCCTGTTTCATGAGATGTAATACTAACAGGACACATGTCATTCAAATGACAAACCAAACTGAGATTTATAGGAAATTCCGGCTAAAAGGAGGCTTATCATGAAGCAATTTTACACCTTAACTCCAAAAGTCAGGGGAAAGGCAGAAAAATGAAACCACTCTGAAATTTGTGATTTAAATCATGCAGAATGAATGGGTATATAATAAATCAAAAACACAACAATCCCTAGTCATTTGAAATTTGTTTTCTAAGCTTACTACATTAGGATAATGTTGGAATGTAGTGAATTAGTGTTAATGAGTATGATTAACACATATTTAACGGAGTAAGTTCTTTTTAAATTCGGAATATCAATTTGTTTCAGATTTCTAAAGTGTATTTATTGAAGTTTCTTGAAAAGTCCATCATTTAAGGTGGAGCAGAAGAAAAAACAGTGACAGAATACCCTCCAATCTCTCATGCTTCAGTAATTTATGTCTTTGAAAAAAATCTGACTGCCACCAAAATTTTTGACTGTCACCACGATTTATAATAGCCAAAAACCAAAGGAAATATTTACAAAACAAACTTTTACTCTGTGGAGAAAGGTGGGTCCACAATCTCACTTTAAATTGTGCATAAAACATTCCCTTCTGGACATGTATGTTGATTCCGAACCGCGCAGTTAATAGATACAATCCTGTGAGAACTACATCTCTTAGAAGTTCCCACTCTATTAACTAAATATAACGAAGTGAAATGTTATGATTTGCCATTAGAAAAAAAAAGAGCCAGATGTATTTATTTAGCTCAGTCACCTAGAACCGGATATCTAACAACACAATTGTTCATTTGAAGTAGCAGCTGAAAAGTGCGCTTAGACATGCCGGGGGAAGTTTAATATTTACCAGTTTAGTAAAGAGTAAATCACATTTAAGAAGAGAAGATGCAACAGTTTCTTTACTCCAGAAAATATAGGCATCAGCAGTTGACTGGGGCATCTGTGCAACTCTTGACTACAAGTCAGTTTAATCACGCAACTTCCTGTTCAAACTTTCAATTAACAAACTCCAGGTCTTCTCCAGCGCAGGCTGGGTGCGGGGTCAAACACCGAGCCTGAGCCAATACTGCCTGTAATGAGTTACATCAGGTAGGGCTCCAACACCACCGGCATTGTTTGTCAAAGAGGCAAGCAGCAATGCCAAGGAAGCCATTGACGCTCCCAGCCTGGAACTAGGCACACCTGGCCCACAGACACCCCTTGTCCTTGGCAGGCTGCCCCCGACCTCTGAGGGGCCCACAGGCCACCGGCTCTGTCTGAGCTCTGACTGCTTTGCTAATTTACAAAGAGAGGAGGAGACAGGAGACGGGCACGGAAAGCAAACCCGTGGCTGCTCCGGAAAACAAGTGTGAGTTTATTTCCAGGAAATCAGGCAGTCTCAACAGCAGACCAACTGTCAAGTACAAAGTAAGTTCTCTGCCTGCCTCCTGTGGGCTCCGCGAGGCGAGCGGCTGCAGCTTCGCCGGTCTCCTCCAGCCCTTCTAGGCCACCTCTCCGTGTCTGCACCGCGAAGGAGACGGGCTGCGCGGGTAGCTCGGCCAGAAAAGTTGTGGGGACAGGGGTGGCACGCAAACCCCCGAAGCCCGCTCCCCAGTGTCCATCTGGAGAAACTCCGGAGCGCGCAGAGCGCACCAACCGGCCTCCAGGAAGGGCAGCAAGACTGCAAGGGAACCGAGGACCGATCCCGGAGAGCCCGCCCAGGATCGCGGACCTCTCGGGGTGGCTTCCCCAGGCCCCCGCGCGCTCACGCGCCAGGCTGCCACGCGCCCCTCTCTGGGGTCCTCCGGGGAACCGCGATCGGGCACAGCCCGCGTCCCCAGCCGGGGCTACGTGGAGCTGGCTCGGTGGCTCTGCAGCACGAGCGGGTTCCAGGATCTCGCTGCCCAGTTCGGCTCTGCACGGATCCCAGGAATCACATTTCCAAACAACTTGGAGCACGCAGCAAACGCACACACGCAGCGTGCTCCAAGCAGAGCTCCGATCCAAGGCGCGAATCCAGGAGGAAGCCGGCGCTGGGGGAGGAGGAAGGGGACTCCGAGGGAGACCGGGAAGTAGTTGGACAATAGTCCGGGAGGTGACTGCCGGGACAAAAAGCACCTGGCAGAGCGCGCCGCGCTCGCTCCCTAGGCGCCTCCACGTTCCCGGCAATGGCTTCCCGGGGAATTTTTGAACAATCTGGCGGCGACCAGCAACGAGCTCCCATCGAGGGTCCTGCAGCGGCCGACCCCGATGTCCTAACTACTTTTCCCTTCTTTCTTCCCCACCAGCCCAGTGCAGGCTGCGTGGACGCCGAGGCCACCAGGTCCCCTAATCACCGCGCAGAGTCCACGCGCCCCTCACGACCGCGTCCATCTGCTCCCCGAGCGAGCCCCCGCAGGAACAATGGGTCCCCGAGGTGAAAGTTACCTGCGCCCCGCGTCCCACCTGGCGCCGACCCTGGGGACGTCGCTTCCTCTCCCCGCGACGCCAGCGCTGCCCCGTCTCTCCCCGGCCCAGGCGCAAAGCCAGCGCCACTTCTTCCAAGCCCGGGGCTGGGGACGGCGGTCCGGGCTCCTACGCGATCCAGCCACTCACCTGCGGAGAACTGGCCTTGGGCCGAGCCGAGCAGGGGCCACGGGGACAGGAGCAGGAGCGCCGCCAAAGCAGGCAGCGCCGCCGGATCCATGCCGACTTTGGGAGAAGTTTCACGCAGCTTTGCGAAGCGCTGCCCGCGGGATCGCGGCGAAATCCGCGGCGGGGCGCAGGGCCCGGGCTCCCGGGGCGCGCGTGGGGCGACCGCCGCCCCCACTCCGTCCCGCGGCGCGGAGCCCGGCTACCTCGGGGGCGAGAGCGGGTCGCGCGTCGCCAGCCGCCCGCGGCCGCGGCTCTCCATGCTCCGCCGCGCCGCTCCTGTTACTCAAGAGTTACTTCGCCGGGGAGGGACGGGGCGGGGCCTGGGTGACGTCGCCGCGGGCCGGCGCTTCGCAGGAATGCGGGCTCGGGCTCGGGATCGGCGCCGCCGCCTCCCGCCTCCCGCCTCCGGCCGGAGAGTGCGCGCCCGCCCGCCCGCCCGGCCCCGGCCCCGGCCCCGGCCCCGGCCCCGCGCCTTTGTTCCCCGCTCGGGGACGGCGACCCGGGAAGGGGACGCGGCGCGCTCGCCGCCCTGCTGCTGCGGAATCGGAGCTGGGTAAGCCGTGGGGCTGCACCGGAGAGGCGGCTCGCGGGAAGCACCGCCCAGCCCGGGGACAGGAGGCGGCCCGGGTGGCGTCTCCGGGCTGAGAGCTCGCGGAGAGGCTGCCGGTGTTTGGGCAGCAGCCGCGCGAGCGTGGACGCAACCCCAGGCAGGGCCGGTTGGCCTAGAAATGTCACTGTGCCTTTTTCCTGCCGTGAGGAATGAGACCTCCACCCCCACAGGAAACTTACACTCCTCATGCAAAACATAAATAAAACTTGCACCCCAGTAAATAAGAAACTTTGCAGCGTGAACGGCTGGCGCGGTCTCCTTTCTGGTTTAAGTGTCGTTTGTGTTGGAATTTACTTCCCGCGACACCCACTTTGCATGTTTCTGAGCCCTCCGGCCCTCTCCACTTCCCCTCCGCCACCGGAGAACCGCATCGGGGCTTCTCAGCCTCTCTGCCTTTGGCGCGGGATGGTGGTGCACACCGGGCTTTGGTTTTTAAAAGCTTGTAACTGCTTAGGAAAAAAATCGCATTTAACGAAGACACTTTACCCGAAGCTGAAAACAGCAGTCCATAAGGAACATAACGCTGCGTGACGGCAGCGAGGTACATGACAGCGCGGCTTCTTCGCCATCTGCCCCCTTGGCGGGCTTCTGTGGGGAGACTGGGTAGCACGTATTTTAGTCATCTTCGTAAAATACCATAGAAAGAAATGGGATCGCAACTGAACAAACGGAACGTGAGTGCAGAATGTGGGAGCCACGTTTCTCGCAGTTGTTGACTGACATCTGTCACTCAGATTTCATCTTTAGCCTACATAAATCAAGGCGATATGAGATTCAATTTAATGTAATATTTGCATGATTGAGCAACCCACATAGTCCTTAAATGACATGGAGAAGGCTTTGGGCAGAGCCTGAAGATATAAATGCAAGTGAAGATAAACATGAAATATCTAGTAATAGCCACAATATAGAGAGAGATATTAGATGCATGGCAGGAAAGGCTCTTTTTAAGGTCGATAAGACCACCTTGATTAAGCAGAATCTTGAGTGTCACGGCGTGCTCGTTAGTACACCTACCAACCTAACACTTGTCATTTCAGGACAGCGTAGTTCATCTTTCCTCGAGGTGCGAGGCAGATTTTTAAAACTCATTAGCGTATAACTTTGAGCACACTATCCCCATTCCTATTTTTCAAATTAAGAAACTTTCCTAGACCACAGCTAAACAAAAACTGAAAGATGTACAAGACCTTTCTAAGATTTGGTTGCAATTTGCCAAAGAAAGAACAAACCAAGCGCACTGTCAGTGTCATTTCACGTGTTCTTCTGTTCTGGAAAGAACGGTGATGCTTATGCTATGGTGATGCATTTGATTAAAAGCACAAAACTCCTCCTCAGACACAGCGTGTGGCAGGTCTTCCTTTGCCCATCCCCTGGGACAAGGAAGGCCAAGAGATCTCAGGGTACACAGTATCCCCTTGAGGCTTTAAGGTGTTCAGTGACTTTCTTGACAAACGTGAGAAAACGAGATCAGAGCTCAGTCCTTTGCTCTCCAGCACATAAATGACTAAGGAGAGGAGAAAAGAGAGTGAGTTTAAATTGATATTCTTAATAGGGAAACACACCTACGAAGATTCCTTCTTCCTACAAGTCTTAGACGTCAGTCAACCCTCTGCCCCTGAGGCCCATAACTGACCTTGACCCCCAGGGAATAAAATTATCCAACATTAGATGTTTCTTCCATATAGCTAAGCATCTGGTAAATACTAGAAACTTGTGAAGGTTTTGTTTCAAAGAGTGAATTAATATATCAAATCAATGAGTAGATGAGGTATTAACTTACTATAACTTATAGAAAAGATTTACCTATTTACATTAAAAATCACTAAAATGTTCATCTGTTTGATCTAGCAGGTATTCCAAAGAAACTCCAAAATATTGTGTGTTTTATACACATGGAGATATCATTTATGAAAGAGAAATGGAGTTAATACAATGTCCTATATCCTATACTAAGTAGATTCATGAGCATTATATGGTAAAATATCTCACAATCATGAGAAATGAAAATTATGAGAAAAATAAATTGCAAAATGGGAGAAGGTTTATCATAGACTGTTCAGTGAAAAATTCCTAGAGACAACAGAGAGTTTATTAGGGTGAAAAAGTTCCAGGGAGGAATTACCATGACAGTGGCCCCAAAATGTGAGCATACTTAATGTCATCAAACTGCACACCTAAAAGTGGACAGAGTTGTAAAGATTACAGATTATCATGCTAATAATAAAAAATAGCACTTTTTTGTGTGTGTATGCGCCAGCGATCAAACCCATGACCTCTTGCTTGCCATGGCAAGGTATCGTGCCACTGAGCTATATCCCAGGCCACATATATTTTGAAAACAAGCAAGGAGAAAGATTAAAAGAAAAACATGAACTGTAGTACCAATTACATGTAATACAAATATCTATATGTATATAGTGGATCCTTGGTTCACAAATGATTCTCTCCATGATTCTGGTCACAAATTCAATTGAATAAGAACCAAATCAAATTCAATGTTTAAGTTCGATGTTGACCTTATAAAAAGTTTGATCCAGTTCTCATCTGATTCAGTGTGCAACCAGAATCATGGAAAGAATTAAGTGTGAGAGCCAGGGTACTATTGCATAGGGTTTGGTGGGGCTGTTGTTACCTTTTTTTGGTAATACTGGCTGTTAGAACCAAAGGCTCCTGCATGTTAGCTAGTCGGTCCATCGCTGACCTACATGTCCAACCTTTTATTGGAAAAACATAAAGACCAAAGATTTGCATTCTTGAAGAATTCCTGCATTCTAACTCTTCAATCATGGACTGAGATCCAAATTTGGCAAAATGTTTTCTGTAGATTCTTGTCTATATAAGGTTGTAATATTTTTAATTGAAAAGTAAGGTCTCAGGATCAAATAAGTTTAGAGAACTGGGAATTGAGCAATAAGGTATTCCAGGATTACCAATATGGTATTGTACACTGTGAATCTTTCGGGGGGCTTTTGGGGAGCAAGGCAGTGTTTCTCAACATTTGGGATAGTACAACTTTTATGAGAGGGGTGTGTTAATAAGCTTCCTGCCACTGTGACAAAATAGCTGAGGTCATGAACTCACATGGATAAAAGGTTTAATCAGGTCCACGGATTCAGAAGATTCAGTTCATGCACACTGAGCCCCACAGACTTTGTTACTGTAGAGAAGCAGTATATAGCAGAGGAGGTCCCCAGGGGTCACACTTCCTAGGTCTCTCTGAAGGTTCCACTGCTTCTCCAGCTGTGGGACCAAACCTGCAACAGGCACACCTTTGGGTGACTTTCAAGATCCAAACTGTAGCAAGAGGAATCCCTCAGGGCTGAGGTGACAGGGCAATAATTTGGGAAACATTGCCTTGAACAACATTTAATATCTCTATATCTCAAGTTCCTTCATAAGAAAGTACTATCAATAAATCAGCTTTTGCAGAGGTTTCAAGAAAATATGTCTTTTTCCTTTTTTTTTAGAGATGTAGATGTCGTTCCAGGTATAGATATGAAAGTTCCTGAGTGATACGAGTTATCCAGTAAGTGTTCTTTTCCTTCTCTTGTTCACTCAAGGATTATGTGCACAAACTTGTACCCAGCAGAAGCAAGGTCTTGCTTATCCAGCGACAGACATTGAGTCTACACACAGCATGCATTTATAACCAATTAATTAGCTAATATTCTCAGCCTATTAGTAGTAACTAATTGCTTACATTATGCTTTTTAGTTGAGAAAGTATATTTAACCATGTGATCTAAATCTAGCCTCACACCAGCTCTGAGGAGTGGCCAAGGTAGATAGAATTATTAATTCCACTTAACTGATGAAGAGTGCTTAAGAAATGTACTTGCCCAAGGTTAAATAGCTGGTTAGTAGCAGGGCTTTAACTCTGGCTTGGATCTTCTGCTTCTATACCTCAATTCCCATTCCAACTCCAATGGACCTATTTCTCATCTTTAATGCCAATTTATCAGGCAGAATTTCTGGGGCTGGTAGGTGGAGATGTGCTTCTATTTTCTCTCTGAAAGGTGAAAGAGGGGGAAAAAAGAGTAAAAACATTTCTGTACAGTAAAATTCTTGCAAGTGTCTATGTGTTGTCAACAGAATCCCTGGGGATGGGAGCTTGGCTAGAACAGGAAGTTCCTGAGGGAAATGTAATTGTTACCCATCAAAGCTGTGTTCTGCATGGACATTGGAACTTCAGCTGCAAAGGAAAGCCCAGTTGCTCCCTGGAACAGCACTGTGACCAGCCAGCTGCTACTTAGATTTTGACTCCACAGTATCAAGGAACAGCATTGTCAGTATGCCTAAGTCTCCGAGGAAACCGTCCTCTGTTCTTGGGCAGTGTGGGGTCAGATGGAAAGCAATACCCAGTACTCAGAAGTAGAGTTCTTTTGTGAGTCCCTTGAACTCTTTAAAATATCGATAGCTTGAGATTAGTTCAGAAACAAGAGTCAAGAAATTGAATGCTCCAAAGGTTTTTTTATTGAGGGAAAGGAAAAAAAAATGCAAACAGCTTGAGAACTCAGTGTTGCCAATTTGGAAGAGCAATTTGCCTACAGCTGGATTTAATTAACAAGCCCGGGTCAAAAAGGAAGCCAATCATAAAAGTGTGAATTGGATGAACAGGAGGCCTGGGACAGTAAGTTCACTGTGGAGCTGGTACAGCCTCACTTGACAGTC